CCTCTGGCCTGTTTTGTTTCCATACTCTGTCTGCAGAGGCAGCCCTGCCCTGTAGGATCCAGAGTGTTTTATGATGTGGGTGCACTTTGCTGATCACGGTGGAGCTGCTGGCGTTCCCGTGAATAAGTGCATTCACACAGAGGGAGAGGAGGGATGTGTGGGGGCCAGCGTTTTAAGGCAAGAAATTGGAATTGGGAACTCTTCAGTTCCCAGCCCAGTTTAGACGTTGCTCCTGGGCAAGTCTCTGACAAAGTCTCTCTGGTTCATATTTGTGGGCATGGCGTTTGAAGCGAGGGCATTCCTTTCTGGGGACATGCCTTCACTTCCCGAGTTCTCATCATCTGTGTGAGCTGAGGGGTTCCAGCCCCTCTCAGGGTATAAGCCAGGTAGAATTACTGCTGTTGTTTTCTCTTGGTGCTGTTATGCACAGTGGAGGTGCCTGCAGCTTGTGTAACTTCGTCTTGGCAAGGAAATGAAATGCTTTTAATCTGTGTTTTAACAACAGCTGAACCTGGAGAGCTCATGCCAGAACCTGAGACAAATACATATGGGTGCTGGTCTGAGATGGGGACACATAGAACACAGGCTCCACACAGCTGGGTGTTTGCCTCAGGCCATGGTTATGCCTCAGCTCACATTAGCCAGTTTGAACTTGGGTTTTTTTTTCCCTCCTTCTTCCCTGTTTTGAGCCTCACAAGGTAAATTCAGGCACATTCGGGTCTCACTGGAGCACTGTGGGTTTATTACTTATGAAATTACAGTTTTCCTCTACCCCCTGGTGATGTTCCCATGGCTTGTGATGCTGCTGGAAGCACATGGCTGCGTGGCCATGAGGCTGTTTGGACCCACGATGATGGGTTATGGGGAGCTGACGCCGCATTGGTGACTCTCCAACATGAGGCCATCTCCTTCCTGTGCTGTGCCATGGCTACTTGGATGATTCCTTCAGTGCTGGAAGTAGCCAGGCACAATGAAACACCCAGGTTCAAAGCACACGGTGTTTGTTGGACAGGGGGAACCTGGCTGCTAAGACTGGGAATGTCAGTGGGGCAGGAGCTGAAACACCATCCACTGCCTGGGGCAGACCCCAGGGCAGGTCCTTGCGCTTGGGCTCAGTTACTTGTAGGAAAGGAGGAAAGCTCTGGTCTTACTTAAAAGGATTAACTCCTCCCTGGGATGGGAGTGAGTTTGCGACTTAGGCCGATGGGCCAGCTGAGCTGGACATGCCTTAGCACAAAGCTCCTGTGGAGTGGCAGGAGGGTGGACGTGGATGGTGGTAGCTGACTCCTCAGCACTTCAGTCCCGGAGTAAAGGATGGGGATGGGTCTATGGTGTGGAATTCTTGCAAGAGAACAAATCTGAGATTCAATCAACTGTCACAACACCTGCAGCTCTCGCGGTAGAAAGTCCTTCCCCCTTATTTAAGAGGACCCGGCTGCCTCTTGGGCCTCTTCAGTAACATTTTGGCATTTGCTTGTTGGAATGAATGCTTTATACCTGTGACACTCTGCCTCTCCTCACACAGCTCCAGCACCCTGGTAGTGTTCATGTAAGCGCAGCTCTTGGTGGCCTTTTGATTGTGTAAGATGGTTTTCACATGGCACTTGCTCATTTACATCTGCAAGAGGACCTGAGGGAACAAATTCCAGTCTATTTCTAAATATTCCAGACAATATTCCCTTTCTGAGCAGCTGCCATGGCCGGTACACTGAGAAAGAAACGCAGTAGTCAAGCAAACCAGAGCTGGGTTTGGTTGTCCCATTCCTTAGTGGGTTTTGTGATTTAAGACCAGCCCTGTTGACACTTTTGGGAAGGGAATCAAGCCCCAGAGTGGCAGAGCTGGCAACCAGTGCACTTCCTTAGACCTGGGTAAGTGAAGAGAGAAAAATCACCTTGTTTTTCAGCCTGTGTTTGGCCACAGTATACACCGAAAACGCTGCCTATGCAGAAGTGCAGTTGAAAAGGTGAATGAAGTCTCTAACGAAGCTTCTGGGATAAACCCAGG